TCACATCATGGAAATCCTCTTCAAAGGAGGCTGAGAGTCCTCTCATGGCCACAAACCCATCAAGAGAAGAGAACACTCTGCCACACTCCTAGCTTTCCACTGCTAAGTCTAGGCCATTATTCCCACACCTTTGGTTTTTTTTCATTTATACCAATTTTATATTTTTCCAACTTTACTGAGGTACAACTAACAAATAAAAATTATACATATTTAAGGTATAGAATGTGATGTTTTACTACATGTATACATGTGGAATGATTACCACAATCAAGGTAATTAACATATCCATCATCTTACATAGTTACTATTTGTGTGTGTGTGTGTGTGTGTGTGTGTGTGTGTGTGGTGAGAACACTTAACATCAGCTCTCTTAGCAAATTTCAAGTATACAGTAGACTATTATTAACTATAGAAACCATTCTGTACATTAGCTCTCCACAACTTATTCATCTTGTGTTACTAAAAGTTTGTACCCTTTGGCCAACATCTCCCCATTTCTCCTACTCCCCTGCCCCTGCAACCACCATTCTACTGTCTGCTTTTATGAGTTCAACTTCATTAGATTCCACATATAAGTGAGATCATTCAGTGTTTGTCTTTCTGTGTCTGACTCGTTTCACTTAGCCTAATGTCCTCCAGGTTCATCCATGCTGTCACAAATGGCAGGATTTCCTTTTCTAAGGCTGAATAATATTCCAATGTATATATATTTTCTTTATCCATTCATCCATCAATGGAAACTTAGGTGGTTTCCATATCTTGGCTATTGTGTATAATGCTGCAATGAACATGACAGTGCAGCTATCTCTTCAAGATACTGATCTCGTTTGCTTTGGATATATATCCAGAAGTGGGATTGCTGAATCATATGGTAGTTCTATTTTTAATTTTTGAGGAACCTCCATATTATTTTCCAGAATGACTGTACCAATTTGCACCCTTACCAATAGTGTACAAGGGTTCCCTTTTTTCTACATCCTCACCTATACTTGTTATCCCATAACTTTATATAAAGCTTCTCCCCAAGAGTCTATCCTACCTCAATTCTCACTCCACATGTTCTACCTCAGCAATTACCTTTCTCGACTTCAATTATCAATATTGTGAGAAAGAGCTTCAGATCTACATCTCAGTTCCTGACTTGGCTCTAGACAAATGTTTTTTGCTGCTCTTCTCCATAAAGATACTCATTGATACCTACAGTTTATTGTGTTTATAACCAAACCATACTTCCCATCCCAACCCAACCTTTCCATTTTACTGTTTCTTTTCTATTCCTGGCATTTGCATTCTCCCAATTTCCCAGGTTCAGAATTTCAAGTTTAACTTTAATTTTTTTCTTACCTCAAGGTATACTTCCAGTCAGTTGCTAAGTTCCATAGTTCCCATATCACAAATGTCTTTCAAGTCTGTTCCCTCTTCCATTTCTATTATCACTGCCCTATACCAAGACTGATATTGCAAAGGCCTCGCAACTGGTCTCCCCATCTTCTGCTTCTCATTAGTACAATCTTTTTTTTTGTGAGGAGATCAGCCCTGTGCTAACATCTGCCAATCCTCCTCTTTTTTTGCTGAGGAAGACTGGCCCTGGGCTAACATCCGTGCCCATCTTCCTCCGCTTTATATGGGATGCTGCCACAGCATGGCTTGCCAAGCAGTGCATCAGTGCGCGCCCAGGATCCGACCTGGCGAACCCCAGGCCGCTGCAGCAGAGCGCACGCACTAACCTCTTGCGCCACCAGGCCAGCCGCCCAATCTTTTTTTTTTTTTTTTTTTGGTGAGGAAGATCAGCCATGAGCTAACATCTGTTACCAATCTTCCTCTTTTTGCTGAGGAAGATTGGCCCTGAGCTAACATCCGTGCCTACCTTCCCCTATTTTGCATGTGGGACACCACCATAGCATGGCTTGATGAGCGGTGTGTAGGCTCACGCCTGGGATCCAAACCGGCAAACACTGGGCTGCCAAAGCAGAGCACGTGGACTTGACTTAACCACTATGCCACCGGGCTAGCCCCATTAGTACAATCTTAAATACACATCTTGATAGATCCCTCTCTCTTCAACAGCTTCCTCCATCGTCTAGCAAACGAAGGATAAAATTATTACCCTATGAGGTGAAATACTCAACTATGTGTCCATGTCAAGCCTTCCAATTTTGTCTCCCATACCTCAATTCATAAATCATGCTTCAGTCAAATTGTGCTATTTGCTGATCTCAAATATGTTTTTTGCCTTCTCCAATGAAAATCCTATAGTCAAGGATGCCTTGGACTGAGACTATAGCAGCTAGGATATCGAGGAGCTATTTGTCTTTATTTTATCAAATAACTCCTGTCCCCTCTCACTCAGAAGGATTTTGACTAGAGAAGAGCCATCACTGACGTCTGCGTTCTTGATCATCATTCACTCACAAACTTCATTCTCCAAGATTCACAAAGGACACTTCACCAAGACTCAGATTTTGTTAAAATGAAAACGTTCTAATCAAACTGTACAAGCAATTTATCACTAAACAGATTTTCATTTCACTATCATTCCATTATGATCTGTTTGAATTAATCAGAGATAAAACACAAGAAGCCTCAATTTACACTGAAATTTCTTAGCAATCAATGTTGCGAGAGAAATTCAGAACAGAGTACAGGAAAATTTATAAGAGTTGGGAAAATATATAATTTTATTAATAGGCAGACACTTCAGAAAATGAATTTATACATCTCCTTCTAAGTCAAGATACTAAGATTTTTAAAAACAGACTACTAACACGGTGACAGAGATGTCATCAGTGTTATAGTAAGAGGAGCAAATGTTACAGAACTAATGAATTTTCATTAGAGTCATCAGATCATTTCAGAATGGGTTAAGTTGCTACCATTCCATTCCCATTAATATCATTGTCATGTAAAAGGTTTAATTTTTAGCTATTTTGTTCTAGATAAAATCTTTGTCATTAAAATGAGGGATGATTTTGATATTTAATATATTCCATGGCTTACTCTAGTCTGGTACTAATTTGGCCTTTTCAGTATTCTGAATATTAATTGACAATCCATCCCTCCTCCATTCCCCCAGATAAGTGAGAACTGAAATAGAATGGACAGCCAATTAAGTCACAGAATACTGAAAGGATCAACATAGAAGAAACATGTTACTCTAATCAGGAGCATAGACAAGGCACTAAAATTATTTTCTCCCATACTAATGACTGAGATAGAAACAGGAATAATGAATGGCACCATCTGAATCCTTTTATGTGATGGTATTATCAAAGTATAGCAATGCTCCCTAAAAAGTGAAAACTAAGTATTTCTTATTTTAGTCAAAAGAATAAAACTGCGATCTCACCTAACTTTTAGAACAATGCATTTGATCAGATTCTGCAGCAATTGGCAAATTATGTCCTGTATTGAATTTTTCATAGTAATGTTTCATGCACACGAAATGTGTCCTGTAGTTGAAGAATGTATAGGACACTGCAGAAAACTTATCATTTTCATACATACTCGATTAGTTTCCTTCTCTTGTTGAATTATCACTCTGGTGAGAACTGACATCAGCTGCTTAAATAATGCATTAACCCTGCTTCCAGAAGCTATTGTTTTCATTTGAGTGGGCATTTCCTCTAAGAATAAACTTAGGATTCTTATCCAAGAAGATAACATAATTTGTCATCATTTAAAGTTCAATTGAATGTTTTGAATCATTTATATAGCAATAGTGATATAATTTAAAATTCCAGAGAGCAAAGATTATGGTTTCATGGCTTATAACAGGTGTGAATAGTTGGCCAATGAAATCAATTAACCCAATCTGTCCAACAGGACCATGCCTTTTCTACATTTTCTGCAACAGCACAGCACCGGAACAAAGGTTAAACATACTAAACATTGTGTATAATAAATTTGCATGCCCTATTATGTGCATAAGAACAGATCCCAGGCATCTGCAAGTCGTTTCAAAAGAAAATCTTGTCCCAATAACTTTAGACTCCTTGTCTTTGCTCATTATGGATAAGTGCAAATCACTCCCAAGATCTTTTCCGGAGTTGTAGACTCCAAGAAAGGCAATAAATTACCAACATAATTTTTTCCTTCAAGTTCAAAATTAGTTAAAAATAGCCAATGGTCACTTTAATTTTTCCACAAAATATTGTTATTACTCTTATAGAAAAATACGTAAACTTTATTCAGTAATTCTTATTAAGAATAATAGTATTTCTTAAGGAAGAGTAATATGTCTCCTTTCAACCACAAAGTTATACTGTTGACTTATCAGCCATAAGATTTGTGCTCTAAGTTGTTTTTTGTTTGGTTCTGTCTTTTCCAAGAAGTGAGATGGATTTACAACCTCATGGCTAAACAGACGTGACGAAATGCCTACAGAAATTTGGATAAGCACCTTGAAAAAAGCCGTGGATGGAGTTCATCAGCACCTTGTTCTAACCAACTTTTTATATTTTGCCCTTCATCCCACTGTAAGCTTCAGAGTTTAAGGTAAGAATAAAAATGCAAAAAGTCAAATATGACAATAAGAATATCGCTTAAGTATAGCTTGGGGGCTACCTCAGGATTGTTTTAAAATGATTACCAGTCTTAATCCCTCTAGTGTTGGATGTTAAACTCCACTGTCTTTTTTTTTTTAATTTAATGACTTGCTAATGTAAACTTTCATCTAGAACAATCAAACAGTATGTCATTTATTCAAATTTACAGTGACTCCAATGTGCCAGCAAACTCCCTCATCAAAACAGACAATTTTAAAAAATGTTCACCTGAGTCAGGAGCTCTATTTCCTAAATTAGCACCAAAGTGTCACCTTGATCTACCATGAACAACAAAATCATTTATAATAAACCCAGCTTCCCCCTAGAGTGGACAGCCTAGGTCACGCATCTATAGGAGCTCTAATTATTCCATACAAATCAGAGAGCACTTGGAGATGCTCAGACTTCTGTAGTCTGTTGCCTCCAAATACAATCATCTGATAAATATATACTTACCAATCTCCCTTGAGATCTGAGTGAAGGCCTCCACACCACTCTCTCCGTAGTTGCCCTCAGAAGCCAGCGTCGACACATAATTCCACCCCAGTGCCGTCACGATGTCCACCATGGCTTGCGCTTGGTAGGAGTCAGGCGGGACCACCCGAGAGAAGAAGTCATACCTGGTGTTATCACTTAGCTCTGGGGCTGTGGATGCATAGCTGATTTGAGGTATCTGCAAAACAAATGACAGGTCATTTCGACCCACGAGGAATCTTGTCGAATGATGGACTGTCACAAGACACTAAACAGCCAAAGCTATACCAGAAACCTAGACATATCAGCCTGAAGCCAAAATGTGGTTTTATGACCACCAATTTAATTAGGAAGTATTTTATTTGGTCTGTGGGCTGACCTTCTTTCAAAGCACATTTCTAAACAGCAGTAATTCAGTTTAGCTTCAGGTTCCTTTGTTTCTGAAGCCAAAGCAAAACCTTTGTGCTTTGCATTGTTGTTGCTTTTTTATTCTGTACATGATTACTTCTGGTGCAGAAATGAAGGTATCATACATACATACATCAGAAAAGGTCACCTCTGAAATTGTCTTTGGCTTTAGGACATAAAGGCTACACAATGATGAACAGAGAATTTAATATGAGATTTTTTTACACTTGATACTCTTTCAGTCTTAAGATCATATTTTTGGTAAATTATTTTAAATATATAGTTTTTCAAATCTATTCACTAATTATTGATATAATCATTGAGTACCACAAAAAGATTTGGGAATAGTCAACCATGTACCTTCTAATAAAAACAAGTTTCTAGCCACCCCTCCAAAAAAATCACAAAACAGGAAACCATACTATAATTTCTTTAAGAAAAGAGACTATTTTCTAACATAAACATGGTGAATTGACAAAAACTTTCAAAACTAGGAATCTTATGTTGTTTCTCCTAAATAAATTCAAACTGAGTAACAAATTAACTACAGACCACAAATTTGCTCCTAAAAAACTTTTCAAATGTAACATATATTCATATATCCTCATAAGTGAGGACTCTTACTAAACCAGTGAAAAGTGCCAGGAGAGAAGAACATATGGATGCTAAAGAAGTGCAGCAAAAGGACTGGCCTCATGGTGTAGTTAAGCTCAGTGCACTCTGCTTTGGCAGCCCGGGTTCACCAGTTCGCATCCCGGGCAAGGAGCTACACCACTCGTCAGCCATGCTGTGGCAGGGACCCACATATAAAATAGAGGAAGATTGGCACAGATGTTAGCTCAGTGTTAATCTTCCTCAAGTAAAAAAAGAGGAAGATAGGCAACAGATGTTTTTAGCTCAGGGCAAACTCTTTCTCAGCAAAAAAATAAATAAATAAAAGTGCACCAGAAGGACACGAAGGCTAGACAGAAGCACAGAATATGCAGGAAATCGGGCAAACAAGGCAGGAAAGCACATTTAAGCCACAGGAAACTGCACACCCAAAGGCACAGAGTCAAGAAAGGACATGGTAGATTCCAGGAATTGCAGCATTTCACATGGCAGGAATACAGGATACCGAGGGAGGAACACCAGGAAATAAAAGCGCAGAGCTAGACAGATGATGAAAGGCTAGTCACGTATGACAAGGAGTATGGATTTTATCACAAAGGGCATGGGGAAGAAACAAGTAATTGTAACCAAGGAAGTGACATAATCAGATTTTTGTTTTAGAAAGATCACATTGGCAGCAGTGGAGAGAACAGGGATTCTCAAATTTCAGTGTGCACCTAGGTAACACTATTCCCAAAGATTCTGACTCTGTAAGTCTAGAGGTCTGGGAATCTGCATTTTAATGTGCCCTCCAGAAGAATCTGATGCAGGTGGACCCACACGATGCTTAGAGATACACTGAATTAAAGGCAAGCCATACTAGATGCAGAACCACCAATCAGAACACTACGATAGAAATCTGAGTAAGAAAGTATGAAAGCTGAACTAAGGCAGTGGCAGGGGGGAAAAAGGAAGGATGTGGAACTTGTAAGTATCTAAAAGACAGAGAAAGCTGTAGGTGATGAGGAGAAATATGGAATGACTCTCAGTTCTATGGCTTTGGTAACTGGGAGATGATGTTTGCTATTTACCCAGATAGACAAAAGGACAAGAGAAGATTTGACAGACAAAAACAATGAATTTTACTTTTGATTTGCTTCTTTTAAGGTTTCTGTGAGATGAATGAAAGCAACTAAAAAGTGGGCAATAATATCGGATAATCTGAAGACTCTCTTAATTCGGGACTGGAGATAAAGAATGGTGGGAGTACAATGGACTTGGTAGTTCAAGCCACAGGAGGGCATATAATCACCCAATGAAAGTATGAAGAGTGAAAGAAGGGCAATTTGGGAGGGTGAGCTATGCAGCTATGTATCTCATCACTCCTCTGCTGCCACGCTGTGAGTGAATGTTAAGAGGTCAAAATGACTCCAAGAGCCCTAACTCAGGTTGCTTGGTTGAAGATGCAGGTTTGACTCCCACATAAAACAGTTAGCTTTGCTCTCCATTAGATCCCACAGTGCTCTGATGTCAAAGAGGCTGTAGATCTACCTTCCTACTCAGGCCTGTATACCCTGGAATCCAACCATTGCCCACTACCCTCTGGCCAACTGATTCCCAATGCACATAGCAGTTTGGGTTTTTTTTAATTTCAACACTTTATTTGTGATGTCTTTCCTTACCAATTTTATTTGGAAATAGAATTGGTTAATTTTTCTTGGGGGGATTTTTTGGGCAGCTGCCAATTTTTTTAAATTTAGGTATAATTGGCATACATTACATTAGTTCCAGGTGTACAATTATTCAATATCCATATATATTGCAAAGTGATCACATTAAGTCCAGTCAACATCCGTCATCATACATAGTTACAAAATTTTTTTTCTTTTGATGAAATTTCAAGATCCACCCTCTTATCAACTTTCAAACATATCACACAGTATTATTAGCTATAGTCCCCATTCTGTACATTACATCCCCGTGACATTTATTTTATAGCTGAGAGTTTGTGCTTTTAACTCCCTTCTCCCATTTTGCCCACCCCCAACGCCCCTGCCTCTGGGAAACCACCAATCTCTTCTCTGTATCCATGAGCTTGGTTTTTTGTTTGTATGTTTCTTTTGTGGGGTTTTATTTTAGATTCTTCATATAAGTGAGATCATATCATTTTTGCTTTCTCTGTCTGACTTATTTCATTTAGCATAATGCCCTCAAGTTCCATCCATGTTGTCACAAATGGCAAGATTTCCTTCCTTTTTATGGCTGAATAATATTTCATTATATATATGTTATTATATATATGCATATATATATATACACACAAACACACACACACACACACCACATTTTCTTTATCCATTCATCCATCAATGGACACTTAGGTTGCTTCCATATTTTGGCAATTATAAATAATGCTGCAATGAATACAGGGGTGCATATATCTTTTTGAGTTAGTGTTTTCCACGTGGAGGTTTTGACTTTCCTCTCGACATCTTTGAAAAGCCCTCAACATCTGTATAACTTTTCTTAGGTCTAGCGAGTCCTACTCCATATTGGTGACCAATGAAGTGACACTGAACTTCCCAAGATATAAAAGCCTCAGTTACCTAGGGAACAGAAGTAGAACAATTTGCTTGGAGCTCTCCAGGGTGCTATAGAATCCATTCAGCCTCTGTGTAACCTGTATCTATGTATATTGGTTCTAATAATGATTTAACTCCAAATTCTTCCTGGTCCTGTTCTCCTAGTGAGACCATGTTAATTTACTTATTAACAATGTGGGAACACCAAAACCAGTCTGACCTGCCCCCTCCTGCCCCTTTGCTTACTCTGCCAGATACACTGGCCCTATCTTGGCAGATTGTTCCCTTGATTAGGCTCTGTGCCTTTATAATACATGACTACTCAGCAAGGACACCCCTCCAAATCTCAAGCCATATGCCAAACTTTGGCCTTTTTCACCTTTCTTGCTCGCTTCTAGGGGACCTAGAGGAGATACAATGGATGACTCAGTAAGATCTACCCTTTACTAGGTAAAACTTTCCCAAAGACCAAGAGCATGTGCATTTCCATGTTCTAATGAAAGAAACTCAACAGCCTGACCTTCACTTTGGAAGGAATTCTGTGCACATGTGAGTGTGGTGTGTGTGCATGCGTGTGTGTGTAGGAGGGGATGGGGAGCATTCTATAGCACTATACCATTTCCCTGTCCTATTTGGACACATAATAATCCCCCCACTTCCTCAGCTACTCAGAGTCCAGCAGTAAAATGTCTTATACAACCCCCACCCTGCCTATAATAATGAGCCACCCTTTTCTAAAAATGAGCACAAAGTGTGAAAATTGAGTGTTTGAAACCAAAACTAATTATCTCAAATTACTACCTTCAGTCAGTCACTTTCAGGGCTGTTTAATTAGCAGTCAGCATCATGTTTAGGATTAATTAAACAGGTGTAAAGGGTACATAAAATAAAAGTGCAGATGTAAAATGGCTGTTTGAATAATTAGGTAAAGGACTTTCTCCTCAAAGTCTCAAAGAGTTTTCTCTTTGCAAATCAACGTGCAGAAAAGTAACGTGCGAGTACGTTTGTATTTTCATTTGCTCAATTTTTGCCATGTTGCAGTATACAACAATAGACATCAGGTTACACTGATCATATTTCAAGACAACTTTTCAAGTTGTCATGAAGTCACATCTCATTTTTATTTTATTGTGGCCAACCACTAAGCATTGGCTCATTAAGCACTTAATTTCTGTGCCAGCATCCTCAATATTTGCACTATCCTCAAATGAAATCACTACTGGTAACTGAAGTAAGACTTTGTTTAAAACCTGAGACATTTCTTTTTATTTCCCTATACTAAATCCATCCTAACTCATCTCTTCATCCTGGAGGTTTCATCTACCAGAAACAATAACAACAATTGAAAAGGTAGTAAATAGGGGATAGAAGTAGAGAAGGAAAAGAAGAAGAAAGTACCAAGAAAAGAAGGTGTTAGGGAAAGCATTCCACATCAGCTCACTCTTTGTAAGAAGTAACATCCCTTATAAGCCTCTGTGAACTCTCACTTGCCCATTCAAAGGATAATATCCAAACTCTTCAGTCTGGCTCACGAAGCTCTGATAGCAGACTCTGTCCCACCCTCCTTCCCAATCTCAAGTCTTCCCTGTCACAAGCTGACAGCAGCTGCATCCCTGCCCATGCTGTTCCCTGGGTAGTGAGGCTCTTTCTGCTCTCCTCTGCCTGGTGATCTTCTGCACAAATTCAATATCCAACTCAAAAGTCACCTCCTACCTGGGAAGCTTTCATTAACTCTCTCAGACAGAGCTGTCTTTTGCTGCTCCTTGCTCCCATAACCTCCATCATCTGACATTAGAACCACAGCTGTGTACTGTTGTATAAGGTTCTCAGTGACAAAGTCTCTGTTGATTTATTTGGTATCCCCAGCACCTGACAGAGCAAGTGCTCAATGAATGTTTGGAGACAATTAACTAACCAAACTGTGGCAGGAATTTTGATACAGCTTCCTCCCCGTGGCCTCCTACCCTGCATTCCACCAAAATATTGTGCAGGCTATTTTCCATTTGCCCCTCTAAATCCTTCTCCGTCCTGCTATGTGTCCTACGAGGCCACTCTGTGACTACAGCACCTGGGTCCCTCACCTCAGCTTTTAGTTGAGTTGGGCCAGTAGAAGACACCAACAGGAGACGGGAGAGCAGGAGGAGACAGTAGTCAGAGTTTTGGTTCCCCCGTCTCCTTCACCACTGTTTGTACCCGAGCTCTCACTCACAGCTAAAGCCCTTGCCAGGTTCTAGTGACCACTCTCTTGTCCCTTCAGGTCTTGCCACTGTTGCTAGTTCCTGAGCACTTTCCCATCCTGTGTTCATTCCTTTCACTGTGCTAACACCTTATAAATAGCCCTTTTGTTAACCTCTCTCTCATTACCCGTGGAGTGTTCCAGAAGCCTGACTAACACACCCACTCTTTCCAGTCTCTGTGGAAGGGACATCCACTGCTGTGCTTCCCCAACCTCAGCCCTGTCCTAACCTCTTAGTCTTTCCCCATCCACTTTCCCTTCCAGCCTCTCTAGTACTGTCCTTACATGACTTTTTCCTTTCCTTTCTCTTTCATTAAGAGAAGGCATCAAATTGCATCATTTGAAAACACCTGTCATTGTGCTTTTTTTCATTTCTTGTTTCCTTGTCCTGAAGTTTCATAAGAATATGATGTGTGCTCAAGATAAGGTCATATTTCCATTACCCAAAATAAAGCACGTTTGAGGCAATTAATTGCACAATTCAAGATACTCATCACCATACCCTCCTTTAGAAACTGCTTTAGCTTCCACTTCTCTGATAATTGCACTGGTTAGGAAAAAACCCTTCTCCTTCTCCTTCTCCTTCTCCTTCTCCTTCTCCTTCTCCTTCTCCCACTACATTTACGTGTCAGCCCATAGAAGAGGAGATTCCTACTGCCAACTCCACCCCTCTTTGGGAGTTCCAGAATGCATATTTCCTACTTAGATCTCCACCTCTTACTTACTCTCCCCGAAGGAGAGGGGAAACTGAACAAGAGGTCAGAGTTCTACATTTCTTGAGCAAGAGTGGCTGACAGGCACTCTTGCTCAATATATATTTTGATAAAAGTATATATACATATATATATTTTTTTCTTTTTAAATAGAAGTTAGTAGAGATTATTGTCCTCTAGTGTCTGTTCTCTACTTCTAGACAGAATCCCAGATTTTCACCTAGGAATTGGCCACTCAAAAGAAAACTACATTTCCCAGCCTTCTTTGCAGCTGTGATCATTAGTGTAGTCGTGACTATAACTTCTGAAAAGTATCCTTAAAGTGAGAGGGCATGTGTTTCTCATGGCCCTTCTTTCCTGCTGGCTAGCATTTGAACAGAATGTCTAGAGTTCAATTAGTCATCTCAGGCCATGCCCTAGCGATCGTGGATCAAAACGCCACACCCTGGTCCAAGCCACTGTGATGTCTGGATTCCTGAAACCACTTGACTGTTCCTCCTGCTTCCATTCTTGTCCCTCTCAAATCCATTCTACACCAGCAACAAAACTGACCTTAAAAAAAAATCAGTTCACACCAAAATCTTGCTCAAAGCCCTTCAATCATCTCCCCATTGTTCTTAGAATAAAGCCCAAACCCCTTGCAGCATAATCCTCGTGATTTAGCATCTGGCCACCTTTCCCCTCACTCACCTGATCCAGCTACACGGGCTTCCTTTCCATTCCCTGATCTGGCCATGCCCTTTTTCCTCTCCAAGCCTCATGCCTATTTCTTTGCACATTTTTCCCAAATCCTTCCAGGCTTTTCTCATCCTTTAGCCTCAGCTCAGATATCTCCTCCTCAAACAGGCCTTCTTTGACCACTCCATGTATGGTGGCCACCCCATTGCTGGTAGTGCCTCATCACCCTATTTACTTCCTTCACTGATCACAACGTGTATTCATTTGTGGATTCTGTTTCCCCTACTAAAATGTAGATTCTACAGGGCTCTTCGTTGTGTTGTTTACAAGTGCAACATGGGCTTCTAGCACATAGTAGGGGTTCAATAAATATTCATTGAAAGAAAAATTGATCCATCCATCAATCAATCAAGGACCATTTTTATTATTTTCCTCCACGCATTGTAATTTTGAAAGATTTTTCTATAAAACTATTTAAGTAAAAAGTCACCCATTTCCCATTTTCTTTACCACTCAAAGATCTATCTATCTGATAAAACTTTTAATCAGCATGAAATATCTGTTATCAAGCTGAGGAGATAGAATTCCAGTCTAAATCAACTAAGTGCCATTTCAGTCATGGCTGTGCAGACACATCATAGGGACGCACACAATCACCACTGAGGCTGAAAGTGGCCGTGAAAACTTTGTAACTATCTTGGCAAATATTTTGACAGCTCATGGACTTCAATCTGTCATTAAAGAAAAATTAAAATTACATTACTAGTCAAGGACCAAAGTCACAGATTCTTTAATCATTTGCCCCTTCTTGCTTATCTTTATCTGCAAAATGGATATTCCAGATAGGGCTGAAAGTTTATCTCTCTCTCAAATGGACTGTGTGTCTCCCTGTTGCTGTCACTGAGTCTGACTACACGTGACTGAGATGGGGTGTTACTGAGATGCAAAGGGGCTGAGGGACTTTTAGACGCCAAAAATACTCTTCAGGGTCCAAGAAGCTTACAATTCCACTCCAGCTGCCTTTTTAAGGTTTCCCACCGTTTGCATATCGAAATACTATGGTGAGCTTGAAATTTTCTGTGTTTGCTCAAAACGGCATGAATCTTGCATACATTTCCCCAAGTGTCTTATTTATCAAAGATCCCTAGAAAGCCAAGACACTCCTGAAAAGCAGTCAGCCACCTAAAGCACAGCTCAGAGGAAGCCTCTCAGAATCATAGTAAATTTAAGTCTTCTTGTAAGAAACTTGCACACATCTGAGGACGGGTTTGCAGACAGAAGACAATTTAAGACCTGAGTCACACACATCTTCACCATCAATTCCTGCCAAAAAGGTTTTTGTTCTTTTTTATCTCTGCAAACAACCTTGTCCATTGATTGTCGAACTCAATGGTGGAGGAGGTTGGCGGGATGGGATCTTCATGCTGTTCAATAGCATCATTGGTTTTCTCCAGTGAAAGATCAGCTTGAAGCTGTGCTCTTCCCTCAGGGGGTAGCACTTGCCTGAGCACTTCTTCAGTGATGCTGGCCTTAGCAACAGCAGCCATCACTATGATAGCTCCCTGACACCTGGTCTTGGGATGGATTTGTTGTTGCTGCAGAACCAGGTCCAGAAAAGCATAATGATTACAGCCATTAACTTTGTCTTTTCAGACTTGACTGCTCCCTGGTATTAAAACGACTAGTTGCTATTAGTGGCAAAACATGAGTTTGTAATCAGAAATTAGATAAAAGTGAGGAGTCAGGGCTAGAAGTCAATGCCCAGCACTGACCTTCCCCTTCTCACACTGCCCTGAGCTTTCATGCTCCTCTCAGCTTCATGAAAATGGAATAAGGAGAGGGAAAAGGAGAAAGGAACATAGAGCCAAAGAGTGGAATAATAATGAACAGCGATGGCTATCCTGAGTTTGCTTCCAAAAACATGAAGAAGTACTATTCCCCTCCCAAAATAAGACCTGCTCAAAGCAATTCCACCCACACAGTGGACAGATAGTAAGCTTCCTGTTTGCACAAGTTAGTGCCAAATGTGAAATTCAGTCTCTGCCTTTCTTCTCAGTTGAATTCCCAGAGTTGATTCACAGAAGGACACAAACTTTTGTGTTTTGATGCACGGTGGAGCTTAGCAAAAGAAAAGGAGACAAGGCCTATTGAAATAGGAAATTGTGGAGGCCATGGAGAGAGAGAAAAGAGAGATTTCATTGTACCATACTTTTAATCCTTCTCCCCAACATCAGCTCATTCAGAGTAAGCAAAAGCTATCTACACACACACACTGAAAAGGCCTGTGGTTAGTGAACACAGGTGAGTATAACACAATGTTAGTAGGTTTAAGGCCATGAGTTTAACTCTGTTATGAGCCAGGATGCAGACCTTATCCCTTATCAGATCATTCCTCCTTACAAATGCACAGCACCGATAACAAAGCCAACCAGAGAAAGGAGAGAAAAAGTCAATCCATTCTCACTACTAGATAAATAATTCAAAGATGGTTTGCTACTAATGGTGAATCTGAAATTCCAGTGGCAAATATAAAGAAGATCAAGTCATAGGAGGCACGCTTTCTTCAAAACATAAAAAGTGCATTTTTGTATATATGTATGCCTGAAAGTATACATGTATACTATGCTTACAATGTCATTTCTTGGTTTCAGATAATCCATTGGGATATTCTACTGTATTGTAAAAGGGTGCATTTTCTCAGCACTTTTTCAAGGGTATTGTATGAGTCAGGGAAGCAAAGAAAACAAATGGCACACTCAAATTAGCATAACTCAGGGGGTTAATAAAGGGACTATTTTCAAGGCAGGGGCAGTACATAGAGAATGGCGATGGAAAGCCACAATCCAGTAAAAGTCAGAGAGGGGAAGTTGCTACCCCTGGGCCCTAAGGGCCAGAGGAGGGAGCAGTTACAGAAACCTGAAGGAGTCATGAAAGTAAGCCATGTTGAGAGAAGCAGTGACCTCCCTGCAGGGACACAGCCAGCCCCTGGCAACCCCATAGGGAAAGAGCCAAAAAAATTATATCCTGACCTCTCCTCGCTGACCTCTTGCTGGCTCTGTCCTTGACCAAACCCACTGGAAACCAAGGGCAAGAGAACCTGTTGATGTTGTCTGGACAGAGCTGCTTCCCAGGGCAGTGAACAGAAGGCAAAAGAGAAGGTGAATGTGAGGGGCAAGCAGACGCTATCCATCCCAGGTCTCATTCATCATTGACCATTAGACACCTTAAATAAATTTACTCATGGCTGTGCATATTTCCAGTTGTCTATGTTATACTGCTTTTTTATAACTTGATGCTTTCAAATACTTTTGGCAGAACAACTACACTAAGACATTTTGGCTTAGCTGTTAGAAATTCCAACCCTAAAACTAGGCCAAGTAAGTCAGAATTTCTTTTGGAAAATAAAATAACTAACATCCTGTTTAAAAAAAGAAGTGTAATGATTTTAATCAAATTGGTAATGACATTTGACTTCTAACCTCGTTACTTAAAATGAAAGACAAGCAATCCGTGAACATGAAAGAATTTACATATAAACAACCATAATTACACCCTATAAGATGAATAAACCCTTTTTTACGTCTGCTAATTACATTTTACAATGAGAAAGCACAGCAGCTCCTAGGGGAAAGCGTTGTTATAATCTATCAAGTCACTAGTAGTGTGGGAATTTTTAAGCCTAACTACTCTGCACATATGCATCCACAAGTTCTAATAGCAAGTTGGATTTAAAAGCTTCACTTTTTATGGAAGGGACTTTAATATTCCAACCAGTTCTATAGTTCCTCTAGATTATGACTTCTGATCTTCAATTTTGCCTTATAAAAAAAAAAAGTGAACACTGTATTTTTTTCTCCTTTCCACACATCTCAGTACTGTGTGATTTCTAGAAAATGATAACCAGTATATGCAATATTACAAATTAAAAATGTTAATTTAATGCACATACTTTTTCTGATTAGTGGTTAAATTAAACTCAATGTCTTTTTAATGCTTACTTTTTGATTAATTCATTCAACAAATTAGCTCCCACTATGTGCCAGACACCATGACAGGCTCTGGGAATAGGGCAGTAAACAACACATGGTCCTCCCACCACCATGGAGCATATGGTCAGATGGAAAAGACAGGCATTAAATAAACAATCACCCAAATAAACATTTAACAGCCATTGTAATAAGTGCTGTGAAAGAGAAATATAGGCTGCTAAGAGTAACAGGGTAACTCATCTGGTCCGGGGAGACTGGGAAGGCTTCCTTGAGGAAATGACATTAAGCTGACACATGAACAATGACGGAGAAAAGGGAATGAACACTGAACATCAGCCACAGATTGCCTCTTACTTCAGACTCCCTTCAGACGTGTAAACCACCCAATTTGTAGAAATGAAGAGGAGGAGCAGTCAAGTGATGGGTACTTCATTTTAGAAACTTGCCACAGGCTGAATAATATTACACCAAAGACCACCATTCCCCATGTTTTTTGCACTAGTATTTTCAAACACTATATGCATGATTTGGGTTCTCTTATTTAAGAAAATAACTATGTAATTATCAGCAGGAAACTGCATTATGTTCTCATAGATCCTGAGGTTTGTAAGGGTCAAGAATGAATGAACAAATGAATGGATAGATGGAGGATGAAAGAATGAATGAATCCAACAGAAAGCAAGCCCATAGAAAAGAAACAACTTTAAGGCAAGAGGTCAGGAAAAATAAATGTATACTCTATATTACATATAAGCTCTAATATTTGTTTCCTTAGGAAAGTAAAAAAAAAGTGATTGAAAAGTAAAAAGAGGGGGCCGGCCCGGTGGCTTAGAGGTTAAGTGCGCGCGCTCCGCTACTGGCGGCCCGGGGTTCGGATCTGGGCACGCAGCGACGCACCGCTTGTCCGGCCATGTTGAGGCGGCGTCCCATATAGAGCAACTAGAAGGATGTGCAGCTATGACATACAACTATCTACTGGGGCTTTGGGGAAAAGAGGAGGACTGGCAAAAGATGTTAGCTCAGAGCCAGTCTTCCTCAGCAAAAAGAGGAGGATTGGCATGGATGTTAGCTCAGGGCTGATCTTCCTCACAAAAAAAAAAAAAAAAAAAGAAAAGTAAAAAGAAACTCATCATTTTTACTCAGGGAGTGAAGACTTTGGGATAGGATTTCAAAAGACATGAGAGGCAGGTTAGAACTACCCAGGAGGAGAATAATCTGGTCTTTTTTTCCTTTCCTTACAAGACAATACACATTTTTGGCACCTCTCAAGAGGAGGAAAGAGAAACAAATGGATCCGTCCAACTCTGAAAACTCTGCTCAGTGACACAGCATCCCAGGAAGACAGGGAGAATGTCATTCCCTGATTTCATTATTTCTAACTACTACTGCCAGGATTCCACTGCATTCCACTGCAAAAAGATGCCTCTTTGATCCTTTCTCAACAAAGTTTTCAAACGGCTTGGGATTTCAAAATGAAATCTATCTCTAAGTATTCTTCTAAACAAAAGGTAGGGAAAACTTTGCAATGAGTTCCTTAGGACAGTGAAAATTTTCTGTAAAGAGGTTTTCTTACATAAGTACAAAAAATGATCAATTATGATTTTTTATATTAGAAAAAACAAAATGATGCCGTGACACTTCTTAGTCATTTGCTAAATCACTTAAAAATTTAACTCTCCCAGTCGCTAATTCCCATCACAGCTGAACTAAAACTATCACCTAGCATTTAATTTTCCTCTTCTGCTGATTTCCTTGCTGTGCAATTGCCACTGTGGTTCAATTTTTCCCCCAAGCATGTCAGCACTAGAACATTAAAAAATAAAAGTTAGTAATTATAACCAATGAATTGAAGTCAATAAACCTTAAGCTGGCAAATATTCCATTTAGGCTGGCATTTTGCCACTCAATAATACATGATTTGAATCCTGAAAATAAGGAAGAATGTTGATACGGACATTTGTCTGCACAAATAAGTTTCCCAGCTGACAATTCCTTGGATTTTCAGTGATTATCCACATTCATTGATACCCTGGTCTTCAATTGATTATTTATCCCCCACTTGGCATCCAGGATTCTGAACACCAAATACCACTGGAAATTTTCATTTCCTTTATGTTGAGTGAGCTGGTGAACTCCAAATGTTAGAAGGGGGTACCTATGTGGTTAAAGGTCTTAATTAGAGCTCCATTTACATAGGAAGAAAACCCACTTCATTCCAAAGACCAAATAGCTTATTTTATAAATGGCCATCATTGGATAATAGGAAAAGTAGATGAGAGAATGTAAATGATTCAGATTCCATTATTCCACCACATATTGGAGAATGTGCCAACCACATGTTCCTCTGACAAGCATCATATTATCATCTTAGTATCCAAATGGCAGCACATTATGTTTCCCCAAAGTGAATGTATTAGCCCTTTCTGCCCATCTCTGCCCCAACCACAATCCTTTTTTTTGAAAAAGGCTAGCTTATTGCTCTTGATAAACCTCCTTTATGTGTCATATCCCGTCTGCACACCTAATTCATGAAACGCTGTGTGTGTGTGTGTGTGTGTGTGCATGCATAAATATACATGTGTACATGTGTTTGGCTAGTTTTGCCA